GAGAAACAGGAAGTAAGCCCAGAGCCCCTTATCTCAACTCTTGTTTAACAGAGCCTCAACAGAGGCTTGTCATGACGATATAGGAACAAAACAGAAAAAAAAAAAAAAAAATACTAGAGGGATTGATATAGGGAAGGAAGAGATAAAAATACAGCTGTTTACAAATGACACAATTTCTATTCAAAGACGATGACAAGCTGCTCTGTGGCTACTTGTGCACAGACGTTATAGGGGCTAAAGTTGCTGCTTCTGTGGTGTGCCAGGCATGAAGCTCCAGCCAAAGACATCGCGGAGCTCGAGAAGCTGCAGTAATGTGATCCAGGGACAGCCGGTGTCACCCCGAGGGTCTTTGGAAGCAGCAAGGTCCTGGAGCTGACCAGAGAGGGGGGCAGGAGGCATCAGAGCCATGGGACAATGCTGCTGACCCACAGGGTAAAGAGCAGCAGTATCCGGACATTCTGTAACCATCCTCAATTCCAGGCATGGTGCTACACAATTTTGCTCCCAGCACCATGGAGGCAGAGGCTCTGGGCAAAGGAAAAGATTTTCTTAAAGATGATAAAAGCAAAGCCCAAATCAGGTGGGGCATGCCTGCAATTTTAGCACCAGGCAGGTGGAGAGAGGCAGGAGATCAGGAGTTCAAGGCTACATTTGGGGTTTAGGCCAGCCTGAGCTACATGAGACCGTGCTTCACAAACAATTAATGATAAAATAAAAATAAGTAAAATCGTGTAAAGGGAAAAGGAATGGATGAGGAAATGGTTGTGATAACCCATGGGTTCGCACAGAGTGATGCAGCCAGGTGACCCAGGCAGCCTGGGGAAAGACAATTTCATATGAAATTCAGATAACAAATAGATGTGCAGAAGAAATGTAAGGTAAAATTGCTAGCTACAAAAGACAGAAAAGTTCAACTAACTCAGTGGTAGTGTTTCATTGGACTTATAACAGTAGTTGTAATTGGGTCATTGTTGTTGTTGTTATTATTATTATTGAGAGAGGGTCTTGATACATAGCCTTGGGTATCCTGGAATTCAATATCTAGGCCAGGCTGGTCTTGAACTCACAGAGATTTGCCTGCTTAGGCCTCTGGAATGCTGGGATTAAAGGTGTGACTTGGGTCAATTTTACAAAACCTATCCTCTAGGTCAGTAGAAAAGAAATTTGGGTGCCTCCCCCTCCCTGGTTGGATAGTGGAGCCAGCTTTTCAGGACGGTGTCTAGAACTTGGACAACAGGAATCAACAGCTTGACCAATACTTTTACTTTGGAGGGGGGCGAGTAAGCCCCCCCCCCAGACAACCTCGAAGAGGAGGAAACTAACTTGTCCCCAAATGGATTGGGATGTTAGGTAGAACGGCGGGACCCCACCCTCTACATACAGTAGGCGGCCTTCTCTACATGGCTAGTCATGTCTGGTCCTTTTAGGTAGATGTACCCGGGAGAGCCCAGAGCTGCTGGCTGTATCAACTTTAACTCACTGTTCATTGAGTCACAGACTTTGGGTCTGGCTAATACAGCTGCAGAATGCTGGATTTTTCAAGTTCTTTCCAATGAAATTTTAACTTAAAAGTCATTTAGTTAGTCTTCTCCAGCAAAATTGTGACCGTTGCATATTGCGGTTGGTTTAATTTAATAATTTTATTTAAAAATTGTATTTATTTTTTGTGTGTGGGGGGGTAAGCACATGTAGGAGCGTTCTATGATAGAGGATAGCTTTTGTCTCCCTAGCAAGTGGGTCCCAGGGATGGACCTCAGGTGGTGAGGCGCAGCAGCGAGCCTTTTTACCCGCTGAGCCATTTTGTGGGCCACGTTGAGGTGTTTAGCAGAAACGTGGGGGAAAATCCTGGCAGTGGAAGGGAGCGTTGGGCACTGGGCATCCACACAAAGCTGGATTTGAGTCATCGCGCTGCCAAGTGGTTTTGGGCAAATCACGTCTCTCTTCTTTACCCTTGTCTCCACCTTAGAAGAGGTAGCTGTGATATCCGCAAGAGAGATCAGAGGGTTCTGGGCTTTCGTTAACATGGTTCTGCAGGGCTGTTTCTGTGTGGCAGTGGGGGGTTGGGAGAGCGGGTTGGGGCTGGGTAGGCACACCCCTAAAGAAAACAGCCTGCAGAACTACTGCAAATACCCTTGACCTCTCATAGGCTGCAGCTTATGAAGGTTAAGCAAAGTCTGTGCCCATCCATTTCAGACCCGCAGAGGTCCCAGGAAGAAAAGGCCTTCTGTTGGGCTGGTGGGGTAGCTCAGTGGTAGAGCCCTCTCCTGACCCGAGAGGGGCCTTGGGTTCATTTCCCAGCCAAAAAAGAAAAAGAAAAGAAAAGAAAAAGGACATACATGGGCAGAGTCAGAATCACGTGTTCTGTAATGTCTCCTCCTAATGTAACTCCTCTTAGGCAGGGCTGGTTCTTGTTTGTCAGATGAAGACATGAGCGAGGGATCCAAGCTCTACCTTCACCCCAAACACACATTGATGAGCCACTGTGTCCTGGGGCCTTGTAGCTCAGAGCTGAGTAAACAATGTCTTAGTTACTTTTCTAATGACAAAAGCATCGTGACCAAGGCAATTTATAAAAGGAAGCACTTAATGTAGGGCCTCATGGCTCCTGAGGGTTCGAGTCCACCACTGTCAAGGAGTGAGGCATGATGGCGGGCGGGGGTGGGGGGCGGGCAGGCAGGGGGGGGGCAGGCAGGCAGGGGGGGGCAGGCAGACATGCTGCTGACCGGGTAGCAGAGAGCTTATATCTGATCCTACACTCAGACGGGGAGGGAGGAGCAACACTACCTGGGAATGGTGTAAAGTTTTGAAAGTTCAAAGCCACACCTAGGGACACACCTCCTCCACAAGACCACACCCCCAATCCTTCCCAAACAGTTCCACCCACTTTGACCCAAGCACTCAACTATATGAGCCCATGTGGCGGTTCTGTTCAAACCTCCAGGGAGATACGGCTTGTGTGGTCCTGATTCCTGCCATTTCCAAGAAGAAACACTCCTACTAGACTGGCCCCGAGGGGCTCACTCCCCTGATGGACCTTGGAAGGGTTTCTAGGAGGGAGACATTGGGAGCTCTCTGAGCGTGTCATTGACTTGAGTCTGCAACTAAGCTACAATCCACCTCAAGGAATGGCTCTGTTTGTTGGGGCTTGCTGGGGATGGTTGCAAATACCCTCAGTGTTCCTGTCTACGTCTTCAGGGCTGAATTCTCCTTTTACCTCCGTCTTCCATGTGTTAGGATTAAAGGCATGTACCGCCACACTTATTTTAGGAAGTACTGGTGATCCACTTTAGGGCGTCATGAGTTCTAGGAAGATCCTCTATGAACTGAACCACACCCCCAGCACTACTTTAAAAAAAAAAAAAACTTTATTTGTGATTTATATGTATTTTATATATATGTTTGTATATAAAACTTATGTGTGCGTATGAATACCACATGTGAGGTGTTCTGTATAGCTGGAGATTTCTCATCTCCCCTGCCAGAGGCTTAATATTAGTTATGATTGTTTGGCCAATGGCTCAGGCATATTACTGACTAGCTCTCAAAATTAAATTAGCCCATGTCTATTATTCTATATTTTACCATGAAGCTTGTGACTTGGTTTCTCACATCTTGCTTCCCCTGCTCTACATGGAATATCCCTGACTCACCTTCTTCCCCTCTGTAACTCTGTTTGGATTTCCTGCCTAAAGTTTTATGTCTAATTTATCTTTTATCATAGCTAAGGAAAACTATAACTATAACTATCTGTCTTTAACTCCATCAAAGACCCCGGAAGGGTCTATGGATGGTTTTTAGGAAAGATATATTACCTACCTGGTAGATATACATTCTTAGCAACTCATGTCATCACCCTCAAAGAGGGTGTCAGATTCCTTGGAGCGGGGGTTCCAGATAGTTGTGGGCCATCTGCTAGGCCCAGCACTTCATTCTTGACCGATACAAAGGTTCTGAGCTGTAATCTCCCAGATGGAGAAGCATCAGTCCTAAGGTAGATTTTGGTTTTTGGATGCTTAGCTGGGACAGGGAGGTGGGATCAGCCTGGGGAACAGGGAGAAGGTAGGATCAGCGTGTGGAAGGAAGTCTTGAGCAGGAAGGACTGAGAAATGAGGTTGGGTGGGGCTCTTGCCTGAACACTGTGAGTCCCCAGAGGCTCCCAGACTGGGGTTGTGTCTCTGGATGTGTGCCTCTGAAAGCTGCATTTCTGAGTATGGCTGAACTAGGTGGTGGCGTAGTGAGCGGAGGAGGGAATGGGAACCCTGGAGGGGTGACAGCAGCAGCCCTGGATGGAAGAATTAGAATGTGCTGTGTACAGAATATAAGACGGTGTGTTGTGGGGGGGGGGCATGGAGAGTGTGGGTGACCCCCAGCTTTTGATGAGGTGACTAAATTTCTAGTGGGACCCTGAAGGGAATGGGATGTGCGAGGATGTTGAACTGAACTTACTTGGGACACGTGAAATTTGAGACGGAGTTGTAGGTGGGCGTGTCTAGTCAGAAGAAGGTCCCCTGCTGAAGTCAGCCACTGTCTGCAAACAGATGTTCCGTACAGTGCTTGAAGCCATAACTGTGGATGTGCCAGCGAGAAGGATGTGGGCGGACAAAGACAGTTATAGGAGTGGACTGTGTGGATTTGAAGGATGCTCCAATTATAAAACACACATAAAACTGGAGCACACCCCTTTCTGCTGCTCAAGAGCTGGGCTGCAGCCTGTAGGGTGGAGTCCTGGCCTGTCAGCTCAATGGGACATCTGTTGGGAACTCGCCTTCTCTAAGGCTGCCCTTCCAGAGGGCCGCAGACTGGATGAGTCTTTCGCAGTTCTGGGTGCTTGAAGTCCAGGCCTAGGTAGGAAAGAGCCTTGCATCTCTCCACACCTTGCTTTCAGTCCTGCGGTCCTTGATTCTCTTCGGCTTGTGGAAACATAAATCGTCCCCCGCCCTCCTCGTGTGTGTTTGCATGCAGGAGTATGTGTTTCTGTTTTCTTTTAAGTACAGCGGCTGTGGCTTGCCTTAGCAGCTCATGCGCTAAAATTGGATCGATACAGAGATAAGCATGGCCCCTGTGCAAGGATGACCTGCCAGTTCGTGAAGCCTCAGTGAATAAAGTGGAGAGTGATTGACAAAGACACCTGATGTCAGCCTCCGGCCTCCTTAAACCCATGCACCCAGCACACGTGTGTCCACACACATTCGAAGCATTCACACATAGTGCTTGCACACCACATATCCATGCGTGAACAAACCACATCAAAAAGAGTGAGCAAAAGATGAGTTATATACTAATTCCACTTGCCGAGACCCCGTTTCTCAGTAAGATCCCATTGTGAGACTCCACGTCCCATGATAGGAACTTGGGGGTGGGTACCCAGAGGGTTCTGCTTCTGGCATCCCTTCCACAAGATTGCCATGGTCTTCATCTAGGAAGATGTCCGCAATACCCCAGCCAAAGTGCAGAGACTGCAACTCATGAGCACCCCCTCTCTCAGAGGACCCCGATACTGTCCTTACTGCCCATGTCCCCACTAGGCCCTGGACTCCTTGATACGAGTCTACCTGCCCCTGTCTGTTTGCATGGAGTGGCAGAGACAGCCTCAGCTTGGGTGTGAGTGCTAATTCTTTTTTTTTCCCCCGAGACAGGGTTTCTCTGTATAGCCTTGGCTGTCCTGGAGCTCGCAGGGTAGACTAGGCTGGCCTTGAACTCACAGAGATCCACCTGCCTCTGCCTCCCCAGTGCTGGGAATAAAGGCGTGCAACACCAACACTCAGCATGAGTGTTCATTCTTAATTAGCTGTGTGATCTTGGGTGACTTTCCTCTTTGCCTCAGTTTCCTTTTGTGTAAGATGGAGCTATTAAATGGGTCACAAGGACACGAATTGAGGGTCACAAGGACACGCATTGAGAGCAGCTGTCCAGGGGCTCACACCTCCAAGAGGCCAGTGTCTAACATGGCAGGGAACCCGTAAGGACTTGTTGAACTTACACATAAAGAGACTTAGCGTTTATGAATTTGAGCCTTCCTCAGAAGCCCCCACCCGGGCCCTGGGAGTTAGATAGTTGCATTACTGGATGCTGATGGGTGCAGTGGTATACAGGGGTCTCAGTTTGACTCAGACGCACAGCCCTGCACTTGGTGCTTCCCTTTCATGTGGATGGAACAAATTTCGGCTTATTACATAGTGGTATCTACGGTGGCTTCTACAGATGAGTCACCATTTACTGTAAAGCTTTCAGATGCCCGGCAGAAACGCCCGTCGGTGGAGCTCAGGCCTTCTGCAAGACCCACAGCCCAGCCTCAGGCGACTAGCGAGAGACAGAGCCTTGTGGTCCCTTTTAACATAAGGTCACAGGTGGAGGTCTGCCTGCAGCTTCCATATTGCCTGCTGGAAATCTAGTTTGATATTTACTAAGATACATACCAACGGTTAGACAACAAACACCCTGTGCGTTCGTGCTTGCTCTGCTTCTAGACAAGAGGCTTATTCTCGCGCCTAACTGTTTCTGTGTGAACTATTAATTAAAAGAAAGAAGGTAGGCCGGGGACTCCGTGGGTAGGGCGTTTGCCTTGCCGGCATGAGGACCTGAGTGAAAAGATGGGTATAGTTAGTGGCCGTGCTTGTAACTTCAGTGTTGGAAGGCAGAGACCGGGGCTTGCTGGGCAATCTCTTCAGTGAGCCTCTGGTCCCAGTGAGAGACCCTGCCTCAGAACCCAAGGCAGGGCGGGAGAGACAGCTTGGAGGGTAAAAGTGTTTGCTCCTGAGTGTGGTGATTTGCATGGTGAAGGAGGGAGCTGACTTCTGAACGTTGTCCTTTGGCCCCAACACACACGCTGTGTGACTTTCAAATTAGTTTTTACTATGGTTCTATGTAGTGTGTGTGTGTGTGTGTGTGTGTGTGTTTTATGTAGTGAGCGTGCGTGCGCGTGCGCGTGCAGGCCGGAGAGTGGAAGCTAGGGGACAGCATAGGGTGGGGTGTCGCTCCTCAGCCACGCTCCACATTCATTTTGTTTTTTTGGCCTTTTTTTTTTCCATGGCCTGGAACTTGCCCAGTAGGCTAGGCTAGGCCCTAGTGGTTCCAGAGTTCCTCTTGTTTTGGCTCCCTCAAAGCTGGGGTTACAAGTGCACTTCGACATGCCTAGATTTGTCTCCACTCTTGTCCCCTCCTGCCCATCCTCTTCCGCCTTCGCCTGCCCCTCCCTGCCCCCTCCTCCCCTAGTCTCTACCTTTCCCCTCCCCTGCCCCCTCTCCTCACCCCTTTCTCCTCTCCCCTCCCCTCCCCTTTCTTTCCTCAATTCCCCCCTCCCCGTGCTTTGCAAGGCAAACATTTTACAGACAGAGCCAGCCCCTCAACCCCATACAGGGCATTTCCTTCCCTGCAAACTGGGACGATGACAGTTTCTTCAGTAGGGTCATTCTGAGGCTCTGGTGAGACATTTGAATTGGTATGCAGTCAGTCTGCAAGAGGGTAGCACTGTACTTGGAGGAAGTGCCGTGGATTTGGGTGTTTGTGGTCGTGGATGGCAGGAGCAACCCTTTGGTGCAGTGAAGGTCCTGCTAGTATTTATTATGGTCCTTGCTGGGGGCCCGGGAGCCCACAGGCATCCCAGAATAAGTCGGCTCAAAGTGAGTGAGGGTGCACATGTGCACACGAAGCCCCTGGTGATGAAGTGAGGGACCACTCTCCTCTGTGCCGACAGGGATGCGCGATCCTCCCTCGCCTGCTGATTCTTTTTTCTGCCATGTATTCATGGGCTGGGCGTGAATCTGCTGCAAGAGCCCTGCGAGCTGAGCTGTGCAGAGTCCTTTTTGCCTGTCCTTCCTGGGGAAGGGACGGTGCAGTGTCCTGGGTGTGGCTGGCTGGGGTGAATGGTACACAGTCTGTCCCCAGGACCAGGAATATTTTGGGCCGCACAAAAGATGTGGGTTCCGTGACTTGTGTTTTTAAAGGGAACTGTACCCAGGGTTGGGGAGGGGTCTGTCCATGTAGCTGGTATCCAGCCATCAGGGCTCTGAGGCAGTTCTTACTCTAGAGGTGATGTTTTTCCCACTGCATCCCAAACACCCCAGGATTCCATTCATTATGGGGCTTTTGGGACTTTTGTAGAAATTATCTTATACACATGGGTGTTTGCCTGTATGTATTATATATGCACCATATGTGTGCCTGGAGTCTGAGGGAGAGCGCCAGGAGAGGGTGTGGGTCTCCCAGAACTGGAGTTGAGGACGGTTGTGAGCAGCCGTGTGGGTGCTGGGAATTGAACCCCAGTGCTCTGTTAAAAGCCAGTTCTCCGGCCCCTTCAAATATCCAGCGGCCCATGTTGAGGGACAGAAAGAGCTCTGACCAATGGCGACTAGTCACTGTCATGTCTGATTATAAGGATGGGGGAAGTGGCCTCTGTCCCCCAAACATGCCTGCAGTGCCCTGGAGTCCCCTCCCTCCCTCCAGGTCCTCCCTCATCCTTGAGGCACACTCTGGCACGTTGTTTTAGTGTAACATCTTCATTAGGACCACACCAGCCACTCAGCTGCAAGAACTTGCCTGGGCCTGGACTTTGGTCCAGCTACATGGAAGCTGGGGCAAGGTGTCAAGTTCTAGGCTTGTGTGGGTGACAGAGAGAGCTCAAGGAGAGAGAGAGCTCAAGGAGAGAGAGAGCTAAAGGAGAGAGCTCAAGGAGAGAGAGAGCTCAAGGCCAGGTTAACTCTGCAACAGCACATCCTCCCCCCCCCCCCCCAATGTGGCTGGGATGTGGTTCAGTGGTAGGAAGCTTGCCTTTTATATCTGAGGGCCTGGGTTCAATTCCCAGTAGAAGAAAAAAAAAAAAAAAAAACAGGAAAATCTCTCAACAAACCCAGGGTCCCTGTGGCCTGTGTGTGCAGTTGTGTGTATGTGTGGATATATGATGTGTATGTGTGTGCAGCTGCATATGCACATGGGTATGGAGGCCCCAGATGAGTGTGAGGTAACTTTCTCCATCACTCTCCCCTGGAAACACTGAGTTGGGGTCTCTGTCTGAACCCTGAGCTCCCAGTGTCAGCTAGTGAGGCTGCCCAGCTCGCTCTGCGCCTTCTCTGCCTGCCTCCTGCATGCTGGCCCATCACACCCTCCCAGACTTTTCATGTGGTTCTGGGGGTCAAAGCTCCAGCCCTCAAACTTGCTCAGCACACCTTACCCACTAACCGTGTCCACAGCCCGTGTTTTGTATTTTCTGAGCCAGTGTCTTACTATCTAGTCCTAGCTGGTCTGGCGTTTGTGACGATTCTCCTGCTCCTGGCTCCCGAGTGTCACAGTTGTCTACCACTGTGTCTGGTGCCCAGTGTGGTAACCAAGAACCTTGACGCCATGGCCATTCAGAGTGCGGTTCCTTTCCTGGTTATGGGCTGACATGGGTCTCATCTGTCCTCAGCCCATGGGATCGGGCCCCTGTGCAAACCCAGCTCCCCGGTGTGAGAGTGAGGAGAGACCTGGCCTGGCTAGCTGCAGTGCTCTTTCTTTGATTGCCTGGGGATGGGTATCTTCGGGAACTCTGATTACTAAAGTGTAACTGTTGGCTTTAATGAGAAACCTCTGAGCCTGGCCACTTCCTCTTCATTCTGCACATTCCGTTTCATTTCTCTTCCTCTGGATTAAAAAAGAAAAAGAAAAGATGACCTCCTATAAAAACAGAACCACCTAGACGATAGCTGGGCGTCGGGAAACTCTCAGCACTCTCTCTGCAAGGAGCCTGCTTCCCCCAGGCTGACTTTCTGTGGGTTGAGGGGCAGACATGGAGGCTCAGAGGACTGGGGTGCAGGCGGGCTGGCTGATGTCCACACTGGAGCAGGAGTGGGTACCACTTCCTCCTTCCGCCTCCTCTTCCTCCTTCCTCCTTCCGCCTCCTCTTCCTCCTTTCTCTTCCGCCTCCTCCCCTTTCCTTCCTCTCCTCTCCCCCTCTGCTCTTCCTCCCCTCGTCAGGGTCTTCATTTATTAGGTAAAAGGTTCATTTTATTTCTCTCTGTGTGACAGCATTGTTTCCTGCCGTGTGTCCTTGGTTTCCGTGTGGGACGTCAGTTGGCTGTAGACGCCGGCCTTATTTCTGGCCTTGTTATTAGGCAGTGTGCGTTTTGATGC